TACGAAGAAACCGCGCCAAGTTATTCAGACTTTTTGTGTTGATATTTTTCTTATAAGTAGAATCCGGTGAGGCTTGAAAAAGCTAAATAGAATTAGAACTCTTTCTTCTCGAGTTATGAAGTTTATATATTAGTGCAAAAGTTCTGAATTACTTGAGACGGCTTCTCTTTAGTCCAAAATCTTCTCATTATTAGGAAGTGTAATTTTCTTCGTATATCTTTTAAGCATAAATGTTTCTTCTTTCTGTATTTCAGGTCAAGCTGCATCACAAATTGAAGAAACACGTTTAATAGTATTTAATAAATCTAAAATGTGTTTTATTCGTCGAATAAATCTATCGAATAGATATTTTCAATTACCTTTTATTGTTCATTTTATTAATATTTCATCATTTTTTATTATTGATCAAATTTATCATATGCTTCGATTTTTTCATTATGAAAAAGAAATAGGTCAAATTAAATTAATATCTTCAAATATTTCTTCAATATCTAATAGTATAACAACTACAAAATCAAATATAGATTATTCATATTCATCAATAGTATTAATGAACGATGGTTCATTACTGATATCAAATAATACTCAAAATTTAATTCAACTTATTCTTAATGATCAAGCTAATGATATTGATGATTGGTGATTATATTGTGATAACATATTTTGTTGCTTTATTTTTCTTTTTTGTCTTTCCTTGTCATTCTAAGAATAAAAAAAAACAGCATTGCAATATGATTTATGTATTTTTGAAATATAATAAAACAAACAAGAAAATTTTTCTTCAGATGACAACAGTAAAATGTTTACATGAAGATTTACTTTATACAATTCTATCTAAATGTTCATCATCAATAGATATGTGGCATTTTCTTCAAGCACTTGATTATGAATTACCAAGAATGATTCATTTACGTGCATTTTGGAGGTGAACATATTTTTCTGAAAGATATTTATTTCAAATAAATTTCTTTTTTTGTTTTTTTATTTTCTTTTTAAGTCATATTCGATTATCATCATTACATAATAAAAATATTTTATTATCGTTTGTTAAAGAAATTGCTAAATATTGTATAGATCTTCGTATTGACAATCTTAATTGGATGATTGTAGTTGATATACGTCGTTTACTTACAAATTTTCGTTCATTAATTTGTTTTCATACAGGAAATGTTGCATTATCAAAAAGTACATTAATTAATGATATTAAAATATTTTTTCCTTTTTTAAAATATATTACTTTATTAATATCACTTGATAGTTCACAAATATCATCTTTATCTACTGATCAATGTTCAATTACTGATGATACATTTACAGAAATATGTACATCATTAAATGAAATTAATCAACTTGAACATATATCATTAGTATTACAAGATAAAAAAAGTATTTAACAAAAAAAAATTAATTCAATGAAAAATAAATTTATTTGATTATTTTTAGGAGCTTATCTTTCTGATGTAAGTGCAAAAATATATTTTCATTTAGTATGTGAATATATATCTAATATGACAAATCATTATAAACTTATATCTATTGAAGAAAATGGATATGAAATTAAAAATCGATTTTTTTCATTAGATACTACTAATAGACAATCATTGGGATTAATAAATTTATCTTTAATATCAACATTAAATCATTTAATAGTTTCTTTTCGACCGATGTTAAATATAAATTTAACATTAAATATAAAAGATTCAATGATAAATAAATTACAACTTCAAACTTTAGTATTACCATGTATACCATCGACATTAAATTCAATTGATATTCTTGATCTTAATCAATTAAAAATACTTGATATTGGTTATGTAAATGTAAATGATCAAATAGAATTAACACGACTTGATGAAATTCTTATTTGTCATCGTCAGAATTCTCTTCGAAATTTAACTCTTAGTTTAAATGAATGGCAAACAGCAAAACTTGTCATCATATGGAAAAAAGAAAATAATAGTAAACAAATAACAACTTCAACAAAACAATTTAATTCTGTATTTGAAAATTGTTTTGATCAAATCACGACAGAAGAAGAAGATGAAGAAGAAGAAGAAGAAATGAAAAAACCGATTGTGTTAAATTCATCTTCAGATGTCGAACAGGTTAGCTTTTTCATCAGTCATACATTAGATCGATCCGGATTAGAGATGTGCAGGACTAAGTTTTCTTGGTTTCGGTTATGGTCTCACTGTCTGCGGTTCCGGTTCTGATCCCGCAGATCCCTAATCTCAATTGAAGATAACAAAGAGGCCATTTTTTTAGACCTTGAAGTATTCTATCGAACTATATATCCTTCTTGTGAATCTTTTTGAAACTAGTTTAATCAATGAATACCTACTATTTGAAAATTGCGTATGTTGACATAGAGGAAGGTGATTTGTGCTACACAGGATTAAAAAAAATGAAAATATTTCTTGCTTATAATTATGTGGCTAATAAAGAAAATGATATTACGTAGGTATGCATCAGTCTCAGTCCGTTACTTTGTATTATAGTAAAGTTATGTCAGAAACATAAGTCAATTCATTAATCGACAATGATTCAAAGTTATCGATGTTTTTTTTAATTTTATATTTTGTTAGTTTCATGAAATTTTGAAATGAAAAAAATGATGATAGAGAACGTAATTATAAGAAACTAGATAAGAACATATCTAAAAACTAATTATAGATATCGAAAGTTTCCAAAAATCTAATATCGACTTCTATTTAGTGACAGCGGCACGTAGAAGTGTAAGTTGATCGACTGAGCAGTCCTCGCCGTCGATTATTGGAGAAAACTTCCAGTTTCTGATAGCCACAACCACCAACAAAGGAAACAAGTTAGGATAAATCCAGCCGCTGATAATGCATTGGCTTACACCTGTAGCTGGACGATTAGAGTGATAACTATACATATCAAAATATAATATGCTCCAGTGCTTTTCGAATAGCTTTTGATAGGAACATTATAGAAACCTGCAGTTTTCACCATTCAAGAGAGAAGACCCGAGGTCATTGAAGTATTTCGAAAATTGATTGGTAAGCAATTGACCAATCAGATGAAATCTTGATGGAGATTTTAGAAAATGATATTTTGAAGTTATTTTCCTTAATAGGACTAATCGGTAGAAAAAATTCCTTTCTTCCAATCTAAACAAAGCTGACATTCCTAACTTGTTCTATTCGAAAGTTATAAGAGTTTTTCTGAAATCCCCCAATTTTAGCCGATCGAACTTTGATCATGTGAAAAAGCAGTTAGACAGGAATAATTCACCATACTCAGTCGAATGGTGATATTTGTTTTTGAATTTCAACTGATCCTCCGCAACTGCTTTTCTAGTTGATTCCAAGTCAGTTGTATCTGCTTAGTCAATTACTGACCAATTAAATTTCTAATATACTTCAATGAGCCAGCATCCTCTCCCTTGAATGGTGAACTTTATGATGTTCCTATGAAAAGTTATTCAAAAAAAAATAAACTTCGAAATTTTGAACAATATCATATTATTCTATGTATTTTATTTCTTTGATTAGACATTACCAAATATAATTGATGAATTTTCTCTTGAATTTATTGATGATAGTCAATCATGTTTTTTCCATATACCTCTTAAAGATTTCTGGTTGAATAAATTAACTAATCTAAATTTAACTGGTATTCATTGTCATTCAATTGATTTTAAATATATATTCAATTCATTATATTTACTTCGATCATTAAGTCTTTCACCTTGTTTATTACTATATATTAATCAATTTGAATGTTATTGTCAAATAAAATCATCTTCTATTCCATATGAAATTCATTCATTAAATAAAAATCTTCTTTCACTTAATCTTATTTCACATATATCTAATATGAAACAAACATGTTCAATATTTCTTGATCAATATAAATTTCATTGTATTCGTCATTCATCAATTCATCAATATTTAAATAATAATAATGAATTATTATTTCAATATAAAAATTTAATTCATTATTCAATTCAAACTATAATACAAACATTAGATTTACATCATTTAAGTATACGTATACCAAATTATGAATTTTATATTGATGATTTTAATATAGAAAAAATAAATTATTTACAAACATTAATATTTGATATTAAAATTCCAATGACATTTCATGCAAAATTAACAAATCTTTATTCAAAAAATATTTTTCATTATTTACGTCGATTTATTCTTATTAGTAATAATAATTTTCAATTAACACCATTACTTATTGATAAATTTTGTCAACTTGAAATAATTGAAATAATATCAATTAATTCTCATCTTAATCGTTCAACAATAAATTATCTTCAACAAGTACTTAAACCAAATAATTATCCAAATTTAAATTTATTTCGTTTTTGGATTGGTAGTGTTGATGCTAAACATTTATTAAAACATTTACATAAAACTATACGATTAGCATTTGAAAATATAAAACCAGCTTTTCAATTTGATATTTCTATTATTAATCAATTATCACAAATAAATGAAATATCAAAATGTATTTTATATGATAATACACATGAAATTCATCAATATTTTCATTCATTATTATCAATTCATAGTAATCAATTATCAATTATTTATCCGAATTTTTTAAATTATAAACCATTGTATAGTGAACAAAAATTTGATAAATAAATACATAAAAAGTCTTTTATATTTCAGCAAATATTTTTATTAGTTAATCTTTCATATATCAAGTATCTTAAACTATTTATTTACAATGTTTACGAACAAAAACTAAATGCTTTTCTATTTTACAACAACGAGAAAGTGTTTGACTACTTTCACTACCGTTGCTATCCTTCTATTTGTAAACTTAACACAAGAAAACTGTGGTGCTTTACATAACAAAAAGAATGAGCGGAAAGTATGAGAAACAAAAAACAAAGAAGAAGAAAGATTTTTATGGGTATAGATGTTTGACAAGTATTAATAATTCCTCTGAGTCAATATAAATAAATGTTAGATTATTTTAAATGTTTTGCATCAGATTATTAATTATAAAGATTATCTTGTTGAAGACCAAGGAGGTTTATTACTATTTTGAGATGGATTCATTGCATAAGACGATGAAGAATAATCATTTATTGATGTTTGTTCATGTTCATATGATGTTGTTGATCTATTTTGAAGAATCATTTGTAAACGTTCTATTGTATTAGATGGTTTTGAATCATATGAATAGGAAAAATTCATTGCTGGTGTAGTTGACATTAATGGTTGAGGTGGTGGAAGATTATTATTCTGATTATCTGAATAATTTTGATAGTTAGAAGATATTTCATTATAATACGAAGAGTTAAAACTAAAGAAAATAAATAAATAAATATGTCATTCAATATTGATGAATTCAATAAACGAAACAAAATTGAGATATAACAATACAAAGAAGATATTTTAAATATACTTATTAAAATATAAACTAACTTGAGTCTTTCGAATTTTTCTTTTTTGTTTTCGTTCAATTTTAATTATTATTATTAAAATATGTAAGACTCAAGAAGTTTGTATTTTAACGGTTTCCGTATATGAAGTAAAATGTTAATATATACAGAATTGATACACAACATACACTCATATCAATACCAGTATCTATGTGTTCAAATAGAACGTAATATTGTACAGCGAACTTTTCTAAATAATAAAATAAGAATAATAATGTAAAAAAAAACTGCACAATTTGTAATCTGTCGAATAAGAATCAATTTTTATATATGTAGAAGTTACAGATGTTAATACGAAAATATTTATGTCGTATGTATTTATTTACATATTGAAACTATTCAACAGATGATTTAGATATCAGAAGATCACAAGTTTAACTCTTTACCCCCCCCCCCCCCCCCCCCCCCCCATTGGCAATTGAGATTGCCATTTTTAGAAACACCGTAGAAAATTTAGCACCTGAAGTATTAAGAATCTTCTTGCATATTTTCTGTAGGAAGCTCTACCGATTGGCAAAAAAAAGAATCTTTAATCATGGCTCTATTTCCAAGAGGTAAGACTTACAAAAGAGAAGAATAGACGAATATTTAAAAAAAGACGTTTTGTTCTTCTTTTGTTGTTTTTATTTATGCGCAATGTATACCTTGTTGATATTTTATGTGATAAATGTTGCCAAAAGTTGCTGCTGTTGAACAAAATGTATTTCGAAGTTCTCAAAAAGATCAGTCGAACATGAGGTTGGACTACATACAATGGCAAGTCCAGTTGCCATTGGGGGGTGAGGACATAAAAATAGTTTTAGAAATTCTCGTCTAAATGCGGTAATTTTTTGCGTTGACGCACCAATAGATGAACAGACTGCCATTATTTATAAAAGTAAGCATCGAAATTGAACAAGAACATACTCAAACTACACTCAGATCAACACCAATACTCACGCCGTAATTCTTTTAGATCTTATCATATTTGAAGTCGAGGAATAGCGTATCAATAATTATGCTCTTTACTTATCGGTTTAGTTATTTCGAGAAGATCAGAGATTATCTGCATATAAACTTGCTTCAGATGCTCATGTGTCGTAGGAAAAAGAAGAATATTTTTTATCTGCTAGTTTTTTCTGGTTTGTATTGCTAGAATACAATAATATATAGTATTTTTTGCAAAATCAATAAACTATTTTCAAAAAACTAAAAGAGTGGTTTTTATGTGGGTACCCCTCAATGTCAACTGGAGTTGCCAAATCACCCTGCATACATGTAAAGAATCCTGGCCGATCTGATGATACTATTGACCTACTAAAGATAACAGTACTTTATTTCGCTAATTGTTTTATTAGTGTCTCTTCTGGAACCATTGAGGGAGATAAAGAGTTAAATGTATTATCATAAGGAGATAATTCGTGAGGCATCTAGAAATGCATTAAACTCGAAGATTTGAATTTGGTCTGATATTTACAAAATAGTTAATTATCAACAGACATATTCTTAATCATATTTACGTGTCCTTATTTCGTTCTTTTTCTTCTCACTATGCCTTTTATAAAGCATTTAGATACAAACAATAGTCTTTTGTCTTGTATCTACTAAACAATCCTTTCTCATGCATATTGTAGCTATTAAACTCAATCCAAGGTAAAAGATACAATCTGTTATAACGTTCTCTCTTGCATATTTTGTTTACAAGCATAATAGTTAGCATTGTGCTGAAAGAAATCTCAGAAGTAAAAAGCTACTTTTTCGTACTCAGCTCGAACTCGAACTGTTAGAACAGTTCTCGGACGTAAACAGTACGATTCGAACACTTAGCCAGAGTTTGGTACATGTATAGAAGAATCCCACATGAGAATATGAATAACATAAAAATCTATGATCAACAACATTTTGTTATAACTCGTCTTAATTATAACAAAATATCGGTATATACATAAGAAATTCTAATGTTGATGTCATGATTTTGATTTTTTTAAGTTCAATTGATATAACATTAGAATCAATGAAAACTTCGAAGAAATTCTATTGAAATTTTTTTGTTTGTTTTCTTACTTTTGATTTGTATTTGTTATAGTTGATCTATCATGATAATCTGTTATGGATTGTGAATAATTCGATGTATTAAATGAATCATACATGAGACTCTTTATTGGAGTAGATCGTGTATTTAAATTAGCAAAACGTGGATGATCAGCAACTGATTGATGATTATAATTAAATCTTTGATGACGTATAGGTTGTGAATGAATTGAAGTTGAATTATTTATATTTCGTTGATGATAATGATAAGATCTATCTGATGAATGTTGATGTTCATAGTTATATTCATTTTGTTGTTGTCGTCGATAACGATTACTAATTGATGATGCACGACTTGATGATGATGATGATGGTGATCGTGTTTTAGATTCTTTTATAGATGAATTACGTGAACTTGTGGATTTTGAACGTGAACGAGAACGTGATGATTGTTTATTCATTTGTATTTGTCGTTTTCTTTCATCAAGATCTTGACGATAATCATGATCATCGATAATTTTAATAGGAGAATCTGTGTCTTAAAAAATCAAGAAAAAAAAATGAATAATTGAACCTTTGGATACTAGTGTATAGAATTCTGTACGCTGTTTTTTTTTCTTCTAAGCTTGTCTATTAATCGAATAGCTTATAAAAGAAAATAAATATCAAGATGCGATGATGTAGCTTTTGTTGTTTGATCTTAGCTCTGCTTGCAAGTGTCTGTGTAAAGTGAAGCAAGATGTAAAATGAATGAAATGACTTGCAGTTAGGATGAAGATAAAGTCTTCTTAACAAAATCTTGTCTATGGATATTTTCTCTTCAAATTTTCATTATTATATTTTTACATGATTTTAATGAACATATACTACAAAATATATGGTAGAATGGATGATCATTTTTATTACCTCATTCTTGTCGCGTTATAGTATCCGATATTATTTTTAAGTAAAAATAAGATTCCTTGGACAGTTTATGTAGTTTTTTGGAAGGAGACCTCAAACTTTAAAGATACCCGTGTAGAGAACTGTGGGTCCTTCCAGATCAGAAACCAGACTCAACCTTTTATTTTTTGGTTGGACACGATTACATGTTTTTGTGGACTTGCTGCTCTTCCGATGAGAAATATAGAAACAAGATATAACTGTACGCTATCTTTTACTTGTTCATATATGTGAAGAGTCACAGGTATTAATGGAGAAAAACCTCGGGTTTTTAAGTCCGGGTTCACGAAAACGTGGATCTGCAGTTTCCTATATTCATAATAGTAGAGACAAGTTACAGAGACTGGTACCGAAACTACGAAGAAAAAGTTGTCCCAATCTTTACTAAAGATTATAGTTAAATATTCTCTAGGGTTGGAACCGGTCTGACAGAGACTGGAATTTCACCGGTTGAAAGTTATGAAAAATTTTTCTTTGTTAAACCTGTTTTTTGCCATAAAAACTAAGGTGTCACATGTTTTTCTGTTGGAATGCGTAAAAAAGTGTTCAAAATATATGTTATTTTAATTATTTGTTCTAAGATTCTCTTTAAAAAGATTTACTATGATGAGTATCTTTTATATATGAAGCCATTTTTTCTAAAGATCTCTCTTCGAAAAAAAATTCGTCATTTTTTCGTCAGTTGGACATGTGGTTCCGGCTCCTGATATTCCTATCAATCAGAGCATAATTTCAAAGAGATGATGCAAATAAGTGCTAGTCATCAATCAAATAAATCAAGAAGCGAATATTGAAAATTTTTTTAGATGTAATACGAATAAATTCCAGAATATTTTTCTCTAGACCGGGATCGAAACCAATAGAAAAGAGGCTACATGGACTAGATCGGAACTATTGCTGGCATCGAAAAGATTTACAATAATCATAAAGTTTCTAGCTATTGTTATCGACCAATAATACTCTTTCTATAAGAGTTGGAAGACAAAAAAAAAAACAAACCACTATTTGATGTAATTTTAATACGTTTAACTGTTGGTTCTTCATCTTGTTTTTCTTGATTCATATTTGTTGTTTCAATTATTATATTATCTTCATAATTTTTTGATACAAGTGTTACTGTTCGTGTTGATGAAAGATTTTTATTTATATTTGATTCATCATTATCATATGAACGTCTACGATGATTAAGAATTTTTGATGGACTTGGTGATTTTATTGTATAAACTTCTTTTGTTAATAATTTAACAAATTCATCACGTGAACGAGTTGAATCATTTTCAATATCCATTGATGAATTTGAATTTATTATTTGTGTTAAATCATTATTCATATTTATTGAATGATTATTATCAATATTATTATTTTCATTAGATGGAAATTCAATTGATTCATTATTTGATTTAAAAACAACATTATCAGTAGTTATATTTGTTATAGATAATGGTAAATCTATTTGTATAGGTTGAACAAGTTCAATATTATTATTATTATTATTTAATTCATCAGATGTTTTATTTGTTTCTATAGATAATGTTTGAGTTATAGGTAAAGATGTAAGAAGTTGATTATAGGTTGATTCATTGACAGATGGTGGTGGTGGTTGTGGTGTTTGTGCTCGAAAACGTTCATCATAATCACATAATCCTTGTGAAGATGGAGATTCAAGATCCATATCAATAACAGTATTGATTGTTTGATCGTCCATGACAGCATCTGTAACAAAAAAAAAATGAACACAATCAATTATTTTCAAATTGCAAATATATGAATCTTAAATCTTTCGATAATATGAATTTAAAAATATGTATATATCAATATAATTTGACTAAAGATTTTGTTTTTTTTTTGCATATTTAAATGTCAAAAAATAATATAAGATAAAAAAAAAATACATAATTAAATCTGTGATTAACAAATATAAACGATCTTTGAAAAAGAAATTTTCAAATAATAACAATATTTTAATAAGCAATACCCAACTGATATAGATTTCTGAAATGAAGCAAAATTTACTTAATTTGAAATCGATCAATACACAGCACTTAGAAACATGTCATGTAGGTAAACTGCATGTACCAAATTTTTGAATTGGACTTCCAGTTGCAGTCGCTTACCACTAGTGTAGTAAAAGTTGATACTGAAAACATTACTTTGGATGTTGATTAGAACTAAAGGAAAAGCAGCGCTTTCTTTGTCATTTAAAGAAAACGATATTGAATAAGTTAGTCTTTTTGTTTAGTAGAACATTGATGATACGATATTGAAAGATATTATTTAAAAGTATTAATTATAATTATTGAAATTTAAAAATCTTCAATTTTCTACATCTGCAATACAGAAGTTTGTTCAAAATAGAACAAACAACTATGATTGAATTCAGATATAATATTACGAATAAATTTTTTTGTATATTTATAATTATTCCTAATGGTTTTTTCATATTTCTCACTGAGATATATCTAGGAAAAAACATTGTTTCTATATGAACAATGATAAATTCTATGTATTTCAAAGACTTTAATATAGTACATTTCGTTTCTATTTCGATTGTATCTTAATATACAAGATATTATGAACTACACTAACAAAAACTTGACAATAATTGAAATGTCAATGTTTTGTAGAGTATTGTTTAATGTTTCGTCTAAGTAGTGAAAGAATTGATTCGGGTAAAATTTTATTTATCTTTTCTAATACATTGAAAATGTAAAAAAAAATTCATTTGATATAATTTGTTTTCCTAAATCCTACCTTCAATTACTTTATCTTGAATATTGTTTGATGTAGTTTGTTTATTTTCCAAACCATATTTATCAACAAAAACTCCAATAAGTTCAGCTAAAAGACGTTTTACATTAGGTCGATTTTCATGTTGATATTCATAACAAAAAAAATCTAATAATTCTAATGATATTTGTTGATTTGATGATGATGATGATGATGATGATGATGACGATGTTGTTATTATTTGATGTTCTTTTAATACTTTTCGACCGAGATTAATATAAGTTCTAGAATTTGCTAATTGATTTTTTTTTTGTTGATTAAAATATTCTTGAATTTTTCTTTGTCGTTTTTCTCTTAAATGTAAACGTATTTCTTGAGAATTTAATTGTTTTTCATATTGAATTAATTGATTTGATATATTTATTTGTTCATATGCTAATTTATTATCATTTTCTTCTAAATCAATATATAATTGATTATTTGGATTTTTTAAACCAAAATGAAAACAATCAACAACTGATACAAATAATGATGAATAATCTGAATAAGATGATTGATTTAATACTTTATTATTATTATTATTATTTGTTTCATATTCATCTGATGACATTGAACGTATAAGAAATGGTATAAGTGTATAATTTGTTTTAGGTTTTGTATTATTTTTTGAATTATAATAATAATTATTAAGACGTTTTTGTTGTTGTAATGCATGTTTAACAGCTTTTAATTCAAGATAAAAAATATTTTGTTTTGATTTATAAGTTTGTAAACGTGGATCAATTAATTCTGTTGTTGAATTTAATGGAATATTAATTAAAGAATTTTTTTTAATATTATTTATTGATTTTAATGATGATCCATCTAATTGTGATCGTTCATTTATTGGATGTTGAGGTGATAATGGAATTATTTCCGATGAAATAACTGTTCGTATTAAACGAGGATCACGATAATTAGTTAATGGTTGTAAATTACTAAATGATGATAATGGTAACATAAGTTGACTAGGATATTTATTTGATATAGTTGATATTATTGAAGTATTTGTTGATTCTTGTGTAAGATCATCCCAAGTACCAGTATTTAATGTTGAGATTGGTTTTGGTATGGATTTTATAGATGATTTATTTTGATTTGAATTTTTTAATTTAATTGGTTTATCATTATTCTGTTGAGATTCTTGAGATGTTGATGTTAATTTAGATGAGAATTTTTCTTTAAGATCATACCATAGGATTGCAAGAGGTAAGATTTGAGATGGACGTGAAAGAGTTTTTAAATCTTCATGTTCATAACAGAATATCTTTCAAGAAAAAAAAATAAAATAAAATGAAGATTAGTTTAAGAATTACATAAGATATATGTTACTATAGAATTGAAAGATTTATTTTACTTTAATACTTACTAAACTATTTGCTAATAAATCATCAATATGACGTTGTTCTTTATTTAACGATTGAATTTTACAAAAATGATGATCATAATGTAATTGTGCAGATAATTGTTTATTATTTATTGAAGGTATAGTTGCATATCCTTTACCCAAAATTATCTAAAAGAAAAAACAATAAATATTTTCAATTAAAATTTTTTCATCGATTTTCTTACTTTACAAATTAATAATCCAAATTTATGAAGTCCTTGTATACCAGATGATGCTAAAAGAACATCTGGTCGTCGTGATAGATGTATACCATCCTTAGGATTTCCTTTTTTTTTTTTAAATGAAGAAAAAGAAAACATCAAATAGAAATTATCAATATATATAATAAACTTACCAAGATATTTATCAAGTGAAAAAGATAATTGTTCACATGTAATACCATCAGTTGCTATATTTAGTGCTATATCTCGAGATGTAATTAAATGAAAAGCAAAACGTTCTGTTGGATCTTGATCTTTTTTCATCTGAGTTTTTCTTTCACTAAATTATTTTTTGAATAGATTATTTTCATATGTATATATATATTTTTTTTTATACTTATATAATTTTTGTAATTTTTGATTACGTATTGTTTCACATGATTTACATTCATTTTGTCGAAAATCAAAATGTGCTTCTAATGAACAAGATTTTATATCATCAAATAATTCTGTTACATTACGACTATCAGTTTTTTCTGTTATTAAAACATCTTTAAGAAATGATAATAATAAAAAAAAAATAAATATTTTTCATTTTAACAAATTTCTTTCTACCTTTATTTGATGTACGAGTTTTTGGTATAACAAATGTTTTTTTACCATCTCGATCTTCCATTCTAAAACTAAAATAAAAATAAATCAAACAAAATTTTGAATAAAAATTTTAAAGTTTTGTTTTTTTCTTTTATTGAAAGAATATTTATTATTTGAAAAATAAAATGAGAATATACATTCGATTTTTAGTTTTAACATAAATATATATTTTATAAATTTCCATATATATGTTAAATCATAATAAATAGTTTTTTTCTTTTTCTATGCTTAAATAGTGTTCATAGATTGTGTCAATCTCCAAATTATTATATCAAAGATCGGTTTCATATGGATATAAATAAAAAACCTAAAATTATATAATCATGAGTTTGTACAATACATACTTCCTTGGATATTTATCTGAATAAGAATAATAAATAGAAACAATGGTTCTGAATCATATTTCTTTATTGTTGATTCATGGATTCATTAAATTTTATTTGTTTTTCTTTGATAAATAAAACTGTTACTTTACATAGGATATTTTATTTTTGTTGAAAATCATTTATCGAATTTTCTTAAACAAAGAATTCAAATAGCTGTTGAATTTAATTGGTATGAAATATATTGTATCGAGGTTATCTAAAAATTGTATTCATATGATTCATCATCATTATAAGTGATATTAACCTAGATAAAATTATTAAACGATTAAATATCATAAGAAAAAAAAAACTAAATAAAATGGTTTATTATGAATCGAAGGAACGACTGTCAAGGCTTTTATTAGTGACAACTATCGCAAAGAATAAAATGATTGGTTAT